AACTGTAGTCAGAATCAGAATTGCGCACTTTGTTTGGGCCCTCGGCGCCTGCTGTAGCCTACAAATGGGACATTCTAAAACGCTTAAAGGGTTACTCTACTGGTTTTTCACATTAAACTATGTTATTCCCTTAATTAAGACGAGTTGATGCATACCTCTCTCATCTCAGTGCGTGCACTAAATCGCTGTCTTGCGGCGAAACTTTGTTAGATCATATCTCAGCCCTGTTCATTCAATACGTGCCAAGAAGAGAAGCGACCAAACACCTCCACGTTTTCTCTATTTAAATACAGTTACACGAGTAGTGTAACTCGACCAAGAACGGTGACACAAAATAAAACGTTGCGCTTTTCTAAGCGTGTAAAATGGATAACTATATTGTATGGCGGAATACCATAGCAAGTGCTTGGGAGCACTTCGACTCGGCGCAGTAATATCATCTCTCGTGAAAAATCCTCTCCCCCCTCACTCCCTCTCCTCCTCCCTCTCATTTCAACACAGGAGCGGACTTTTCACGAGGGCGATTGTGAAAAAGTGTCCGTTACTAAGGGGCCTTCAGCATGTGAAGGCTGGTTGTTTCTGGGTCTTGATGCCTCTCCCCGGTGATTGGCTTTTCCTAGAATCACATCTGCTGAAGCGGTTGGAGTTTCAAGAGCTGCGGAGAAAGTCAAACGAGTTTGTCGGGAAAAAAGCAGACCTCCTGCTTTGATAAACTGTTGAGCAGTTTCCTAAAACTGGCGAAGAAGTCAGTGCCTCATTTTGCTGGAGTGACTCTCTCTCTTTGGCAGAGAACAATGAGGGTTTTCTTCAAGCAGTTTTTGAATGTTTCTCCATGCGACTGCTATAAAGGAAAGAGCTGTGTGACAGAAGTGTCATGTTTTTGAGCTCCTTTGTCGTTCACAGTCGTGTGGCGGCTCTGACAGTTTGATTGTACGCTGATTGCGATGACAGCGACTGAGCTTGAAATGGCCAGAATCTATTTAGAGATAAACGCTGTGATTACCTGTGACAGTCTTTCTTTCTTTCTTTCTTTCTTTCTTTCTTTCTTTCTTTCTTTCTTTCTTTCTTTCTTTCTTTCTTTCTTTCTTTCTTTCTTTCTTTCTTTCTTTCTTTCTTTCTTTCTTTCTTTCTTTCTTTCTTTCTTTCTTTGTCGATCACAGTTTTTGGCACATAATCTGCATTTTAAACATGACTCCTTAATGTGTCATCCAAACCCCTTTGGATTTCTGAGCGAAAAAAACTGATTGGTCACAGTTCAGAGGCTTTGCCAAAAATACACTAAGACCCTTTTTGCTATTGCGAAACATAGTGTGTACCTCGGGAATCTTTACGTCAGTCTCTTGAAGAGAGTCATTCTTAATCTGCATGAACAAAACCACGTGTGCCATAATGTGAAATGCAGAAAGCTACAGTGAGTAAATGATGAGTAACGGTTGGGAGCAGCACACAGGAAGCTCATCCCTGTGCTCTCCAATGCACTCTCACTCTTTAAATCAGAGTCCCCTCGGTCACTCACATACTCCTAATCAAAAACATCACATCTTGTTCTGTATGCCTGAACATCTGTTATAATGATACAAAAATCTAGGTCGTTAGGGCAGCGGAATAAACATATTCATACAAATACATATTGATGTTCTTAAATATGCTCGATAAGAGCGTTGTTTCGTGTTTTCGTCCTAAAGATACATCTGTAGTTGGTGGTTAGCTGTCACCTCTCAGATTCATTGTGTGCTGCTCTGTAGTTTGTGGAAAAGGTTCAGGGCAACAGGGGATTCCCGAAATGCAGCTGCCTCTTTCCAGCTGGAATGATGTGTGAAATGTGTGGGTTATCCAGCAAATGGTGTAGTAGACTCTTTTATTGCAGAGTAGGGCTTGGGGAAAATGGGAAAGTGACCACAATTTTGCCCATGTTGCCCACTCGTTTTCTCTCAGCTCTCGTAACCTTCTTTCCTAATGGTAAAATGTATTGTAGTGTAAAATGTATGTGTGTGTAAGTTGCTTAGGGCTTAGAGCTGATGAGTCGGGAGTCTACCGCATAATGATAGCGGCTCCCTGACGCCCGCAAATTATATACAATATCCCAGAAATCGAGCGAGACGCCCTGTAACATTTTTTTTATTACGTCGTATTATGATACGTAATTTTGATGATTTTAGTATGATTTATTATTGTATTATGACTCATTTTCGATTATCCGATCACAAGTGGCCGGCCAAAACACATTACCATTATACCTCGTATTATCAATGACGATTAATGATCGTATCAATGATGTTCAGATTTCGTTGAGACCCTCGCCTCTTATTTCGCCACACTTCGACATCACTTTCACTTTTGCCTCATGAATAGACCTAAATTCAAATGAAAACCTGTGGTTTGACCTGCAAACAAGTTCATCTAATTTGTGTAATTGGGACACATTTGCATTGCAAAATGGGCTAAAATTCCACAAATGTGAAATAAGCAAGAAGGCTCAAGACTGTGATTGTTGTTAAAGGACTGTGTATAAAGCTTTTTGTGCTCACCAAGACTGCATGTATTTGATAAAACATATAGGAAAAAAAGTAATATTGTGAAATATTATTACAAATAAAATAACTGTTTTTGACAGTTTAATGTTTTTAAAAATATATACATATACTTAATTCCTTTGATGGCAAAGCTGATCATCCTTCAGAAATAATTTTAATATGCCGATTTGGTGCTCAGGAATATGCATCATATACACAATTTACCCGCTATATTGCTAAATGTACCATATTGTTTTATATCAACAGACAAATATACCAGTATGGCTTCTCTTGAGACTCCTCTGCTTCAGAGCGGTCATAGTTAATGATATGCTAAAGCTCGCCCTGTACGTTGATGTGATTGGTTACAAGGTCTTTATTGTTTCTGAGACTGTTTTAATCTGGTTTAGATCTTATCTCTCTGATCGTCAACAGTTTGTCTGCATGAGTGGTTTCTGGTCTGAGGTTGGCTCTGTCTGTACGGGTGTTCCTCAAGGTTCAATTTTGGGATTTACATATTTCCACTCAGACTGCTCCTAAGATCACTTGGGCTTAATTATCACTTTTATGCAGATGACACTCAGATTTATAAGCCTGGTCAAAATGTGGATGTTCCTTTTTTAATACATTGTATTTCTGGCATAAAAATATGGATGTCCCAAAATGTTTGTCTCAATAGTGAAAAGACTGAGGTCTTACTCATTGGCTCCTCTCATCAGCTTCGTAAAGCTGGCTCACTAATTTTAAACATAGATAGCTCAGTTTTGGATTCACAAGCTAAATAAAAAAAAAATGTAAAAGTTATATTTGATTCAAGTTTGTCTTTCGTCTCTCATGTGCAGTACACTATTAAGAACTCCTTTTTTCATCTCAGAAATATTGCTAGACTCTGCTCTGTGTTATCCCTCTCTGTGACTGAAAAGCTTATTAATACCTTTGCAGACTTCCCAACCTGCAAGAAGTCATTTCAGGGAGGTTTATCTTGGTGACTGGCGGCGGGGGGGCAGTCGACCCAATTGTTGACCGGGGGGGGGGGGGGGGGGGGGGGGTGGTGTCGGGTTGACTAGGTTAGGGTTAGGCACACTCGCAAGGTCTCTCGCTCTCTGCGCACGGAGATGTCATGCGCGACTATGCGCGCAGTCAGAGCCGTTAAATATGAGTTTTTCAACGGCTCTGCGTGCAGTATGTTCTATCTCGCTCTAGATTCCGGGAGATTTGAACTAATTTGCGGGCATCAGGGAGACGCTAGCAATATGCGGGAGACTCCCGGAACTTCCGGGAGACTTGGGATGTCTGCCTTTGTTCTTTGTTTTATGACTATTGCAATGCACTTCTTGCTGCGGTTCCTAAAAACATGCTTAACAAACTGCAATATGTGCAAAATTCAGCTGCAAGGATCCTGATTGGAGTCAGGAGAAATGAGCACATTACACCAATCCTAAAGTCTCTGGACTGGCTCCCGGTCAGGTTCTGAGTTGATTTTAAAATCCTTATGCTCACATATGAGGCACTGCATGGACTGGCCACTGAGTATCTGTCTGCAATTTTAACTTTATACACTCCCAAACGTCATTTACACTCCTCACAAGCTGGTGTATTGGCAGACACGGTTGCGTTCTGTAGGGGACAGGGTTTTTTTATCTTCTATGCTCATAGGCTTTGGAATGCACTCCCTCCTCATATTAGAGATGCACAGAATCTAAATATTTTTAAATATTATTTTAAAAAAAATCATTTTTTTTAGGTTGGCTTTTCCTTGCTCGGCCTAACTTTTATATTATAGTCTGTTGTTTTTATTTTAAAATTCCTTGTGTTGTATTTTTATTTGCTTGTTCTATTATGTTATGTGCCTTGAGAAGCTGCTTTAAAGGCGCTATATAAAAATAAAGTTATTATTATTATAAGGTAGTTTGCGACATAAGAAACACTGGAGATTTCAAACCTCGTTTTTGAGATTGTCTTTGGTTCACTGCAGTTTTAAGGAGAAAATACTCAGCAATGATGTTGACTTATGAATTTTCACATGGTTTGACTTGAATCATATTAAAAACGTCACATAGACATATAAACAACATTAAAAACTTTAATTGAGGAAACTGTAATAGATTTTTTTAAAGAATTCTTTGATAAATAGAAAGTTACAAAAAACTGCATTTATTTTGAAATAGAAATATTTTGTAACATAGCCTAATAAAAGTCACTTTTGATCAATTTAATGCATCTTTGCGGAATAAAATTATTTTAATTTAATTTAAAATATCTTACTGACCCCATGTCTTACTGTATTATTGAATGAATAAAACTGATTCCAATGTGTTTGAAAGTTTGTTGAAAAATAATTTGGTTGGGAGGTTTAATGGATAAACAAATTGCAAAAAGAAACCAAAAACATGTTTGCTTCTATTGGAATGTGAGTTTTATTATGCTTTTTTTCCATGAAGGCCTCAGTGGATTTAATTGTTCTTTCTTTCTCTCTGTGTGTTTAAGTGTGTCAGGGAACGAACATCAAACTGGCCCTCCTGGGAACAGTGGATGACCATTATCAGATCCTGGTAAAAATGTACAGCAACTGCACCGTGGTTCTGGAAAACCTGGAAATCACATATATGACAGAAAACCATGACTTGTCTTTTCTCAGGGTATGATATATATATATATGTTTACAAACACTACGTTCAGTGCTATTTTACTGTTGTCTTACTGTTTGGTTATTGTAAGTCATCTATATACCAATGTTTTATTATTTTGTATTTCGTGACAGATGCCTCAACAATATTTAAATTATGCTGTATAACAAGTCTTTATTTAGTATTAGTGTTGGATGTTAGTGAGTTTTATGTTTAATGTTTCTGATTTTTAGAGCATCCAAGAAGTTGGTGGGTATGTTCTTATTGGGGTCAACTCGGCTCCCAGCATCCCCCTTGAGAATCTGCGCATCATTCGTGGCCACTCCCTTTATAATGACAGTTTTGCCTTGGCCGTCCTACTAAACTCCAAGAACAGCATGGGATTGAATCAGTTACCACTAACTAGCTTAACTGGTATGTGCTTATATAAAAGTGATCTTTGTCCTAATTTTTGTTTTTCTTCCAAATGAGAATAACACATGCTTCTAACTGACCTGTATGTCTTTCGCACATTTGTTTTGTAGAGGGAATAACATTCATTAATCTCCATGCCTGGTGCTGAAAGTTATATTTGGAAAACAATAATAGACCTAAATTTCCACTGTCACTCTTGGTGTCATGAACAACCAGAGACAGGTAGATCCATACGCAGCGTGGGTTTATTTAACAGAATGGTCAGACAGGCAATGGTCACTGACAGCAGACACAGCATAGGAGACAAGGCAATACTCGGGATCAGAAACCAGCCGAGATGACAGAGGCAGGCGGAATCCGGGAAACAGGCAATGGGTCAAATACACAGACAGGAACAGACTAGACTAGGATAACAGACTTGGAAAACTAGGAAACGCTCGGAGATGTACACAACAGTGAAACAAGACTTCGCAAAGGGTAATAGTGAGAGTGGGGTATAAATGAGTGTGGAGCTGCGTGTGGAACTAGATGCAGGTGTGAGAGTGATCAATGGAAACAGGTGTAGGTTTAGGGTTAGGGTTAGTAATCTGTCCAGGGTGTGTGCGTGAACAGTCCAGGGAAAGGAAGTGCAGAAGTGGAGCGCCCTCTCGAGGGCAATCCAGCCGGTCATCGTCACATATGGTGAAGTTTGTCATACAGTACATTAATGCATTGTTCAAACACTGTCATTTTCCCTCCTAGAAATACTGAAGGGTGGAATAAAATTTATCAGTAACAGTCATTTGTGTAATGTGGAGACCATCCAGTGGACTGATATTCTGAACATGAAGAGCCATCCTAAAATTATAAAGCCGGAAACAAACTTGGCAAGATTCTGTAAGTCCCTCAAGATTATTTAAATATATACACACATATTAAATGGTATTAATTAATTTTGCACGTTGATTAAGAATGTTCTACTCTACCTCCCGCAGGTGAGAAGTGTGACCCAAGCTGTCACAATGGTTCCTGTTGGGGCCCTGGCCCTCAAAACTGCCAAACAAGTAAGTGGTCCTAAACTACTCTAATGACTGAATCTGAATGTTTTTCCTACTTTCAGGCTTTTTTACTAAATTAGTGAAAACATACTATGTAGAAGTGTTTAAAAAAACAAGAACACAGAAACCTTTTAAAAGCTAGCGACTGGAAACACAGACACTTCACACCACTATTCAAAAGTTTGTTTCTGAAAACCAGAATTTGAAGATCTCTCTAAACTCGGCTTTCTGATAGCCTACTCTGCTCTGATTGGTCAGATGGCTTAGTCTGTTGTGATTGGTCTACTATGCTCTGATTGGTCAGATGGCCCAGTCTGTTATGATTGGTCAAATTTGCTACATTGTTATGTAGGTATGTAACAGGAAGTGAGACAGGAATTGTTTTAGCAGTTCAAAATCGATTGTTGTTTTTTAGGAGACAATAACTTAATTTGTCGTGCACTGTGCTCTTTAAAACTTTGCAGACCTTTTACTGTTGTCACCCTGGGTTATTGCAAGGAACACAAATGACAAAGGAGATTAGAACAGGGAACAGACTTTAAAGGTGACCTATAATTCAAAATTGAATTTACTTTGGTATAGTCAAATAACAAGAGTTCAGTGCATGGACATGACATAGAGTGAATCTCAAACTGGACTGTTTTCGCGTTCTCATTTAATTCACGTTTATGAAAAACACCCCTGAAAAACGGTCGGTTCTCCACACAATACCGACTGTGACGCAATAGTCGGGATCATTAATATGTACGCCTCCAAATATTTGCATAATGCCAGCCGTCAATGCCAGGCGGAACTGCGCAGCCGAAGCATGGCAGTTGCTCAGTGTGGATGTACACATGAACACAAAAGTATTTTTTAGTTCCTTCATCTGAGCCTCTGAAGAAACAATGGGTTAATTTTATTTTCTCTGGAAATTTCCAAACATTTAACCAACTGTTTCCTCAACTTGGGCCAATACAGAGCTGGCCTCGGATCGAGCTACCAAGCAACACTTTCTGATGAGTAATTGTTCAAGTTCAGACAGGTAATCTTTCTCTCAAAATCGTTCAATACTGTTTATGCATCAGTAAGTCAAGCCAGTGACTAAAATATCAGCTTCACACCGTTTCTTTTAGTAGGATGAAAATAATCGAATTTAATTTGTGAACAAATTATATACAGAAAGCGATCAAAGAACAATCTTTCCACACAGCGCGAGTTTATCTGGACACTTGCCAAACTCGTTATGAAATCAATGACGCACGTTACTGTACAACGAAGCTCTTACTGTATTTACATCATCGTGTTTGCATTGGTGAAAGCAGAGAGAGTGCAGAAACTGCTTTGCAATGATAAGATCTTCATTCTCGCGATCAACAGACTGTCATCTGCTCAATGCTCATCACGGCAACATTTTATGTGATGGAAATAGATCTAAATACTTTAAAAACATCTCACGATTCGTTCATCTCGATAGCTGTTATAGTAAAAACGTATAAAAGCAGTAGTAAAAGTATTCGGGAGAGAGTTTCACATGTAATGCGTTGCTATTTCATATGCAAGCATGTCAGCCAATCACAGCAGTGGCCGCGGTTACACTGAATCCCACAGCAGCCAATCACAGCAGTGGCCGCGGTTACACTGAATCCCACAGCAGACACGCCCCTTCAAACAGAGTGTTCAAATCAGAGGCTAAAAGCAGGCTAGGAAAAATACCATTTATTTCTAAATTATGATTATTTTTTATCTAAAAAACATACTAACATTATAAGGGTAACCCAGGAAACATTATAAAAAAAATAAAAAAAACATTCTAGGGCACCTTTAATGATAAATCCACAAACGCTTAGCTTCAACATTTAAGTAAACGAGATTGGACAAGTAACTGAAAAAAACAGGGAGTATAAAAACTCATATATATATATATATAGGAGTATAAAAACTCATATATATATATATATATATGAGTTTTTATACTCCCTGTTTTTTTCTCCCTGTGTGTATATTGGACACACAATTACCCACACATTCATGGTAGTGTACTATATAGAAGCATTTTAAAAAATACAAAAAAAATCAAAAACAGGAAGCTTTTAGAAGTTATTTAGTCAAATAGAAACACTTTGTGGTTCTTAGACTTTAAACTGCTAATCCTGCACGATATGTAACCCTTTGTTATCTTAAACCTGGGTTATCTTGTTTCATGCTGTACTGGTTAGTAATGCACAATACCTCTGCAAAATGCAGTGAATTGACAGTTTTGGGATTTCTGTAAGGATTTCTGCTTTTTGAGTAGTTTTTTTAAATGCTCCTCTTTAGATTGTTTAGTTGATCCTTGACTTATATTTCACGACTGCCGAAGAACACTACTGGACCCCCGAAGGACTGTTTTGAATATTGAATTGTTGTTGCTGTGCTCAGCTGTAGCGATGTAGCGAACACTGATAGGTCTGTTAGCATCTCTAAAGTTCCTTCTCTCTCTGAATCTAGTGACTAAGGTGATCTGTGCGGAGCAGTGCTCGGGCAGGTGTAAAGGACTCAACCCTATAGACTGCTGTAATGAACATTGTGCTGCTGGCTGCACTGGACCCAAACCAACCGACTGCCTGGTGAGAAACACACGTGTGCAGATGTGTTCATTCATTTCCCAACCATTCACTTCTTTGCTCATTTATCATTTAGTACGTACTGTATGCTATATTTAGCGTAAATATAGTTAGTGAATTAGGTGTAGACATAATGTTTAGATAATTATGAACTGAACTAGTGTGAATAATGATAGCAGTATGACTCAAGATTTGAGAAATTCACATCCGCTTGAATGTGTTAATAAAAACTAAAATAACAGTTTTTTATTTGAATATATATTCAAATGGGATCAAAGCTGAATTTTCAGCATCATTACTCCAGTCTTCAGTGTCACATGATCCTTCAGAAATCATTATAATATGCTGTTTTGCTGTTCAAGAAACATTTCTTGTTATTATCAATGTTGAAAACAGTTGTGCTGATTAATATTTTTGTAGAAACCACTTGATGAATAGAAATTTTAAAGTAACAGCATTTTTTTTAAATAGACATATTTGGTATACAGTCCCTTTTCTCATGTACATACTTATTATAGCAATTACTATAACTAGGTCATAACAAGGTACTAACCCTGAACCTACCCCTAAACCTAACCTTAACCCATGTAGTTACCTTATATTACCAGTACTTTCTTGAGCAATTACACTGCAAGTACACTAGGGCTGTGATGATATGCGATATGAAACCGAAATTGCGACACTCAGATCCACGAACCTGTCGCGCTGTGAGAAGGCAGAAATTACTATTAGTATTATTTGAAGTTAACATTATAAAATACATAGACCTACACCACAAAACTAGTTGAGGATAAATTCTTTAATTTGACCTGTAACCGCCGTTTCACACGGCAAGCGTCAGCGGTATCGTTAACACCCCTAATGTACACACGCACTGTGAAATAAAGTGTAACCAAATATTTTGTAACATTATTATAAATCTTGTTACTGTCACTTTGGATATATTTTAAGCATCCTTGCTGAATAAAAGTATTAATTTATTTTGTTAAAAACTTTGAACTATAGTGTACTACTATATATAAGCCTTTGAAAAAATACAAGAAACAAGTTATTTAGCGGCTGGAAACATTTGTTAGAGTGAAACATTCATTACCAATGAAGTGCACAGCTGCAGTAAATGTAACCCCAGGGCAATAAAGATGATTTGGGACTAGTGCGCTCATGGGAAATGCTGTTTGTGTTCTGCAGGCCTGTAAGGACATCCAGGATGAAGGGACATGTAAGGACGCATGTCCACGGCTCATGCTCTACGACCCCAGCACCCACCAGCTCGCTCCCAACCCCGACGGGAAGTACAGCTTTGGGGCAACGTGTATCAAGACATGTCCACGTAAGGCCAGGCTAAAGTCAGAATGAGACACGAATCTTACACTCTGTTTTTTTTATTTTTCCTTGAACACACGGCCAGATTCTAATTATATCTTTCATGCGAATTCAAAGCTGTTAGGTCTGCATTCTGGAGATTAATGTTTTAGGTGTTCAGGGTTAAAATATAAACAACACAATCCAGGTAAAGAGAATCACTCTGGTGTGGATCGTGAGCCTGCAACTCAAAGTCTGGTTTCTGAATAACATCTCAGAAAGCAGGATAACCATGACAGAATGATTTGACGCATTAGGATTGTGTTGCTGGTTGGTTGTGGTTAATGACTCTGATGGTTTGATGTTTTTCTCAGATAACTATGTCGTGACAGATGGGGCATGTGTGAGAACATGCAGCCCTGGCACCTATGAGGTGGATGAGGGTGGAGTTCGGAAATGTAAGAAGTGTGATGGCCTGTGTCCAAAAGGTACGGCTGAGACTGCTGGTCAGGATCTGTAACAAGATGTTGTCTTTAAGAGGAAAGATCGTTTGTCTGTTTTTTTTCCTCTTTTTTTCTACTTTGACAAACACATTAGTCTGTATTTTAATCTCATTTAAAAATATGTAATTAAAACTAAATAAAAGACATAAAAACGATAAACTATTGCAGTGTCTGTGTGTTTACACTATCGTTCAAAGATTTGGGCTTGATAAAAAATAATTTATGAAAGAAGTCTCTTATGCTCAGCAAGGCTGTATTTATTTGATCAAAAATATTATTACAAGGTAAAACTTATTTAACCTGTAAATTATTTATTGCAATGATGTCAAAGCTGAATTTTCAGCATCATTTCTCCAGTCTTCAGTATCACAGGATCCTTCAGAAATCCTTCTGATATGATGATTTGATGCTCACGAGTCACGAAACATTTATTATCATTATCATTTTTGAATACAGTTGCACTGCTTAATGTTTTTTTTTGTGGAAACTGTGCATTTTGTTCAGGATTCTTTGATGAATAGAAAGTTCATGAAAGTTTATGAGAACTGCATTTATTTAAAATAGAAATATTTTGTTGCTGAATAAAAGTTTCATACTGGCTCAACATATTTAATTATTTAATTCCTTAAAATAAAATTTTGCAGATCCCAAACACTTAAAACTTTTGATAATTACATTTTTTGTTTTGTAAAGACATTCATACATACAGTAAGCATAATTGAAGTCCTTCTGATTCAAAGATTTTTAAGATAATTCAAAGCGTATATTCAGTCAAGTTTTTACTGGTAGCATAAGTACTGAAATCAGGGCTAGCTCTTCACCTAAGAAAGGAGTTGCAGTTAATTTTCTAATGTGTGTGCTAACAACCCCTTAGTTTGCAATGGGCTTGGAATGGGGCCTTTGACCGATGTCCTGTCAATCAATGCCAGCAACATCGACTCCTTTGAGAACTGCACAAAAATCAACGGAGGTGTTTCAATCCTCACCACAACATTCAAGGGGTGAGAATGATATTTTACACTCTCTGATAGCAAAGAATGGACTGCACAATGCTAAGTGCCATTCTATGTTGTTTAAAGACAATTATCCTTCAAATATTTTTCAAATATTCCCGGTTCTTGGAAACTTGGTACCGGTTCTCGATACCCAACACTACTTATACTCTGAGGACCATCAGACAGTCTACTAATATTCTAATGAGATTTAGTTGACATGTAGTTGCAACGTTTTATTAAGTAGAATGTCTAAAGTGGAAATTGAAATATTGTGACCATATTTTTTTTGCAATTTGATTAGATTGTGTGATTGAGGCAAATTTTCCACAAACTCTTTGATATCAATCTTCCTATGGTGCCGTTAGGATTTGACAATCATCTTGTTTTTGATTACCAGAAAGAAAATCATTTTATGAATTTTTTTTTTATTGCAGTGACCTGCATACTAAAACTCCAGAACTGGACCCAGTCAAGCTCAACGTGTTCAGAACTGTAAAAGAAATCACTGGTAAGAATGCAGTGGTTTAATACTGGACATTTATGATGGTTAAAATGGTGTATCATGAAGGGGACATTTAGTGTTCATAAACTTCCTCTTCTCCCAACTCAAAGGCTTCCTGATAATTAAGCAGTGGCCGACAAACATGTTATCCCTCAGCGCCTTTGAAAACCTTGAGGTCATCCTTGGACGGACAAAAAAGCAGTAAGTCAATAAAAAATACAGTAGTTTCAAAAGGGGCTTTCGCACTGGGTAGTTCTAGAAAGTTAGTTGTTGGAACTAGCCACCAGGGTGGTTCCCCGAGAAGTAAAAGTTTCTACTAGGGCCATTTTCCAGTTTGCATACGCACCGCCAGTAGGAACTCTGAAGTGAAGTAATCCGCACTTGTTGTTGTGACTTTTATTTTGACCACGCTGAGAACGCCAGCCTGAGCACACAGCGCTCCCATTCCCCATGTTCATTAGTTTACTATCTGTTTAACCCTCTGGGGACCAAGGTGTTTTTGGGGTCCTTGAGATGTTCTGACATGCCCTGACATTTGTGCTTTTTTCAGTTGCTTATAAACATATTAATGGCACAGGTGAAATTACACTCTATTTAGCACAAACAGGGCTACCATAATATGTGAGCAACATGTATGTACATGTTTGTATTTTTGAGAGAATATTGTTTATGAATGTTTATTGATAAAACTAAAAATTAAAGTTTCTGAAATAAGGCCACAAAACACATACTAAATATGTGTCCACAAGACTTTTAACTAATGGATGTTGTGGCCTAGAGTATTTGCTTCAAAATGATCTGAAAATCATCCTTCCTAACCATTCACATAAAACCATAGATTGCTTTAAATTGTGAAAAACATTTTTTTGTTTGAAAGGCAATATGCGAATGGGCGTGAACGGCCCAACCCCCTCATGTATAATTAGGTGATTCTCACCTGAGAAGACAAAGATGCATTCATTTCATTCAGGTGTGTCACAAGAAAGAATGCAAGGAAAATATATATACATATATACACACACACAGACATATATATATATATATATATATATATCAAAATATCAAAATATCAAAATAATCAAAATATAAATGAAAGTCAAAAGCACATTTTTAGTCATACCTGGAAACAAATCCTGTTCAAATAGGTTATATGGGCCATTCAATAGAATTGGTCCAAAGTTAGAGTTGGAAACATCTTGAAAAGAAAATAGTCTTTTTCCATAAATCTCTTATAAAGTATTATTTTTTAAAGTATGCAAATACATTTTAGTATACATATTTCAAAGTTAAGGATTCATTATTTTGATATAGCCTAGCTGGAACAAACACTATAACAGTTGATAAGTTTATTTTTGACAAAACATACTATATATTTAACATATGAGCAGAAACTTCTAACAAAAGCTTATTTGATGTCTATTTTAGAGTTAAAACTTTATAATCTATCCTAAACTAGTCACACACACACACACACACACACACACACACACAGAAACATGATTCAAATTTAAACAGTAGGCTATTTTTGCGTTTACAGACATTAAACGTTATTATATATCGCGATTAGAACAAACCACAAGAATAAAACACTTACAGTTCAGCTCGCTCCTCGAAGTGAAAATAAACCAGCACTTGTTCTGAGGTAGGTAAATGTCCCAGGATTATTCCTCACAGCCGCGCAAGACGACAGTACACTAATCTGACTAAATATAGTGTGTTTACAGAGTTTATATGGCGTTTACACGTCTCAATGTGTTGCTTCAGATCGTTTGAATAGCGCGCGCTCTCCATGGGCGTGTTAATGAGAATAATGAGATGCGAGAACGATAATGAGAACGGCTGACACATCTCTCTTTTTATATAGATTACATAAACAGGGAATATTTATTTTAGTTTTAAATTAGATAATTTAAAAGTACAAACTTAAATGATCATAAACATATATTTCTTATGTCTGGGTGAATAGTATTCGCTGAGTTTTGTTTAAGTTTAGAGACGTGCTCCAGAAAAAAAGTTCACGGACACGGAGAGGCAGAACACACACCCTGTTTATTTTCTTTATTTTACAAAAGCACAATATTTTATTTCGATTGTAGGTGGGCACATAAAAAAGTAGACATTTAACAGTTTTTTTTTTATATGTTTCATAACTCTGTATGACCAGAAATGATGGAGTAGTTTAAGTCTATTTTTCTGCTATGTGAAAAAAATCTGCCAAAACGCACTGGTGCGTTCTTGGTCCCCAGAGGGTTAACAGTCATGTCTAATACGTCATTAGATGGAACTGAAACAAGTAGACCGTATATGAAAACGTATTATAGCGTTTGCCGTGTGGTTGATGTCGCTAGCTGAGTAAAAATACATAATCATGTTTCACTTGGTCCTCTCAAAGTTGCGTTGGATTTTCTCCTTAGGGTAAAGGTTGAGAGGTCCATATCTCACTGTTTTCCATGTTCGTAAAGTTAGTTTCTGGAGTAAATATGTAGGCTATAAACTGTGTGTGTACATTGCTTTCTTTTTTTTTTTTATGGCGGGTGCTGTTGTTTCGCATGCGTTCAGCCAATCAGCGTAAACTTACGTCACTGGTAGTTCCTTTAGTGCTGGTTTAGACCCTACTCCTAGAACTAAAATCGTTCCCAGTTCCTGCGGTGCGAACACGGGTACTTCCGCCATAGTTTTAGGAACTATTAAAAGGTTCCTCCGGTGCGAAAGCCCTTAAATATGTTGGCATTCTCAGAGAATGTTGACGGATTGCGACAAATTCCAAATTAGCCAGCTGCCCCTAAATGAATCACTTTGTTGAGTCTGTTTTGCATATACAGAACATCCATCTTTCTCTCCTGCTCCCACAGAGGTACATACAGCTTTGCTGTCACCAAAACTGAAATCACACATTTCGGCCTGCGGTCCCTGAGGGAGATCAGTGATGGTGACGTGAGCATCCATACGAACAAGAATCTCTGCTACACCAGCCCTGAACACTGGAAACGCCTCTTCAAATCTAAAGATCAGATTGTCAAAATGTCAGCAAATGCTGATGCTGCCACCTGTGGTAAATTAATTATCACAATAACACTTGTCAAAGAATTTCAGTTTAGTTCAACCAAAAAAATGCGATTCTGTTGAACGTTTGCTCACCCTTGTGTCACTCCATGCTCCATGAAGCACAAAAAGAGAATTTTTAAAGAATCTTCACACAGTCCTTTTCCAAATGCTGTTCATACTGATCAGTCAAGCTTTGTACAGAAGGAACAAAAATGTGCTTAAAATCATTAATTATGCTATTGATTAATATTGCCATGAATTTCAAAGACCCAACAATAAATAAATGACATGGAAATAGCTGAATAGAAAATGTTGCATTCATATTAACCAAACCCTTGTGAAAAAGAAGTGTGCTTAATTCTATTAAATGTGCACTTGTAGTGTACTTCAAATATATATATATATATATATATATATATATAAATATTAAAAAGTACTTGCAAATTGAGTACACTTTCATTACTGGTTCTTCACACTTAAGGACAATTTTAAAACGTGCACTTTGTAATAATGTCAAATTAAGGTACATTTTATATCATTGCACAAACATTAACATTCAATAAAAAAACTAAGAATTGTTCATTTTAATAACTTGACATCTAATATGCCCACAGATTAGACATCTGTGATATCAAAGTTATTTGGTTCTTGCATCTCCTGAATAAAGCATTTGAAATAAAGGAATGAAGTTGTTTGGACTACTTTTACGGTGATTGTTTGCATGGAAAATAGCTGTGTGAAGATTCTTCAAAATGTCTCCTACATTCAGCAGAAAAAAATAAGAAAACATATGGGTTAGCAAAGAGTAAATAATACCAGAATTCTCTCTTTTGGGTGAGCTATTCCTTCAAATTCAAGCATCCATTTTTAATGGAAAGTTTATTTTTATTTTATTTTTTACAGACCTTTAAGGTTGATTTAAAAAAATGTGCTCGGTATATCTTTGGGTTGATATCTTATCTGAATGTGTGTGTTACAGCGAATCAGAGCAGCACGTGTGATGAGATGTGCACGACTGATGGCTGCTGGGGTCCTGGTCCCACTATGTGCTTCATCTGTAAGCATTACAGCCGTAGAAAACACTGTGTGGCTTCCTGTAACCTACTGGCTGGGTGAGTGAGACTCTTATGCCTTCTCAGTTGATCCATGTTCAAACTTGAAATAACAACTCTACAAGTGGCCAAGTCTCTTAAAGTCCTCCTGTAGTCAATAATTGAATCCCTTCAAACTCATCTTTGATCACCAAAATTAATATTAAAAAAAAATATCTTCATGCCTTAAAATAACTTGAAAGTAACTCTACACCCTTGCCTCATTTAGTATACGCGGTTCTATGAATATGAAAATTAACCCCGCCTCCACTCACTCACACCAGGGCTGCGTTCAGCCCCGACAAAACGTTGCACAACGTTTTTTAAACAGAAATGGTGATGCGTTGAACACACTGTTCTGATGACGCAAGAGTTGATTTATGGATTTAAGAGTTGAACAATGGCAGCTGAGAAGGCCATTCTTTGTGAATAATTTTCGGAGCCTGATGAAGTCGGTATAAATATGTGTTTAATACTACAAAATATGCCCGATGTTACAGTTACTGCACTTGCCGCCCAGAACACAAGAGAGCATCCCAGTCGAGTGAAGGGATTTGTGGAAACTGAAATGGAATCACATCTTACCTAATTCAGACTAAAACACATCTATTCAGCCTCACATACTGACTTTATTTGTAGTTCATACTGTTTTAATACCCTGTATTTTCTTTCTCATTTTTAGGAAAAGCACTTAATTACCATTGTTTATTTCCATACCAAATTTGCAATTGCAATGAAGCTAAAAATATAAACAACTACATCATTATGTTGTTGATATCCTATATTTTTACTAGGGCTGTCAAATGATTAATCGTGATTAATCACATCCAAAATAAAAGTTTTTTTTACATAATATATGTGGGTGCAATTAATTATTTTGTATATATATAAATACACACACATGCATGTATATTTAAGAAAAAAATATTATTTATATATAAAATATTTATATTTATATATAATATAAATTATATAAATTATATATAAATCTATATACAGTATATACATGAAAATATTTCTTAAATATATACAAACGTGTGTGTATTTATATATATATATAAAATAATTATACACCGTGCACCCACATATATTATGTAAAAAAAACTTTTATTTTGGATGTGATTAATCACGATTAATCATTTGACAGCCCTAATTTTTACAATAAAACTTACGACAAACATGTCTTCTAATATCCTCAGTTGTTGCGTATACCGAGCTGCATCGAACACATTTGTAAATTACTTTCCTTGAACCCATTGTGCGAGTTCACTTTAATACAGTGTGCTTTATATACATGTTGCTGCTGATTGGACTGCAGTTCTGACACACCCACTAAACAAGAGAAAACGCATCTCAAACCCCGTTGCACACCGGTGCAAGCCGTTTCCAGGAAACATGACGTTCAACCCGGAAACCGTAGCAAAACGTTGCGCACCGTTTTGAACTTGAACGTGCCCCAGCTCAGAGATCCACTCGTTGATGATCACACGTTGACCTGATTGGTTACAAGCTAGTTTGTGACGTCAGAAAAAAACAGCGATTTCAAACCGCGATTTCCAAAACGTCTTTTTTTTTCACTGCAGTTTTAAGGAGAAAATAAGAAAATTGATTGATTGATTGATTGATGGATGGATGGACTGACGTATTGATGGAGTGATTGATTGATGGATGGATGGAGTGATTGATGGATGGATGGATGGATATATGGATTGATGTAGGGAGTGATTGATTGATTGGAGGAAGTGATTGATTGATGGATAGATGGATGGATGGATGGATGGATGGATGGATGGATGGATGGATGGATGGATGGATGGATGGATGGATGGATGGATGGATGGATGGATGGATTGATGGAGGGAGGGATTGATTGATTGATGGAGGGAGTGATTGATTGATGGATGGGTGGATGGATGGATTGATGGAGGGAGTGATTGATGGATGGATGGATGGACTGATGTATTGATGGAGTGATTGATTGATGGATGGATGGATGGATGGATTGATGGCGTGATTGATTGATGGATGGATGGCTGGAGTGATTGATTGATTGGATGGATGGATGGATGGATTGATGGCGTGATTGATTGATGGATGGATGGATTAATGGAGTGATTGATTGATGGATGGATGGATGGATGGATGGAGTGATTGATGGAGTGATTGATGGATGGATGGATGGATTGATTGATGGATTGATGTAGGGAGTGATTGATTGATGTAGGGAGTGATTGATTGATTGATGGAGGGAGTGATTGATTGATGGATAGATGGATGGATGGATGGATGGATGGATGGATTGATGGAGGGAGTGATTGATTGATTGATGGAGGGAGTGATTGATGGATGAGTGGATGGATGGATTGATGGAGTGATTGATGGATGGATGGATGGATGGATGGATGGACTGATGTATTGGAGTGATTGATTGATGGATGGATGGCTGGAGTGATTGATTGATTGATTGGATGGATGGATGGATGGATTGATGGAGTGATTGATTGATGGATGGATGGATGGATGGATGGATGGATTAGCTTTCTTTTTTTGGTCTATTATTGAGATAAATAGGACAGGAAATGTTGGGAGAGTAAGAGGGGGAATATCTGAAAAACTATTTAGTGTATTTTAACTTTTGGTGTTAAGTGATTTGGTTATTTCAATGATGATTTAAACTGAACACATTTTTGTCTATATAGTGAGCCACGTGAATATGAGGTCAACAAAACATGTGTGGATTGTGACCCTGAATGTCTGCTCATGAGTGCAACTCTGACCTGCACCGGCCCTGTAAGTATCAAACCAAACCTACAGCACCGCATGTTCTGCTACAGTAGATGCCAGTAAACAGTGTTTATTCTTATATTTGAAATAGCTGATGGCAGCACACCAGTCTCTCAAACCAATGTTTTCTGGCCCAGTAGTGTCATTGAGACACATCATTAAATCCACATCACTAGAAGACTGTGGAAAAGTTGCTTGTTGCCATCTAATTTCCAACTTTTGTCCAGGGACCCGACAAATGTACAGTCTGTGCTAACTACAAAGATGGGCCGCACTGTGTGCCACGCTGCCCGCAAGGCGTACCGGGAGAGAAAGACATACTCATTTGGAAATATGCTGACGAGATGCGCGTGTGCCAGTCCTGTCATGAGAACTGCACCCAGGGGTGAGAGAGGCTTCATATACAATGCTTCCATTTGAATGTAATGACATGAAACGATCATTTGTGTAATTCAGCCAGGTTCATTAGGGACCGCAACATGTACTAGTTGTGATTTGTTGGATTTTATGTTTTGCATTGCAGATGTACTGGGCCTGATCTTAAAGACTGCAAATATTTCAAAAGGTGAGATGTAAATCCGTCCTATAATGCTTTGTGATTCTTGGGATATTCCAGAAATGTAATGTATACAACAGCGTTAATCCGGTAACACATTATTTCAATGGTCCACTTTAGACATTCTACTAACTATAAGTAACTTTGCAACTAAATGTCAACTAACTTAAGACTGGCCCACACTAAAAGATTTTTTAAATCTTACCAGATTTTCAAAATGTGAGAGACAACAAAAAAATCCTAGATTTAACAGCTTTGTTCCTCTAGGACCCTATCATACACCCGTCGCAATGCAGCGGCAGGAGCGACGCAAGTGTTTTTGGCTAGTTTCAGCCCGACGCAGTTATCATTTTCACATCCTGCGACACGTTGTTTAAATAGCAAATCCATTTGTGCCCATGGTCCGCTGGTCTGAAAACGAGGTGTGTTCAGGCGAGTTGCTATTTTGAGGCAACTGCAATATTTTTTTGGTTATTTAAAGAGCGCGTTAGTAATGTGCGCCTATACTGTAGGCGGGTGCACAACGCGCGTACACATTGTCCCGTATATATGGTCTGCTCTTTAACCTCACGCACGAGCTGATCCGTTTCCTCCCTGGAGAAGCGTTCAGTTTTTTTGCTTGCAAATTCCGCCATGTAAATAGCAAATCCGCCATGGCTCGAGCGCAACTGGCTTTTAAAGGGAATGGGAGATGAGACTCTGATTGGTTTATTGCACGTTACGCCCAAAACACACCCATTACTCATTAAGAGAATAGGGACAACCTTTTTAGACCATGCGCCGGGTCGATAAACTATCAAAAGTGGATTCGGACACAACCTAAGTGCACTTGCGCCCTGCGCTTTAGACCATGTGCTTAGATCGTTAAAATAGTGCCCCTTGTGTGTGGAGTGCCACGATGTGACTAAGACATCATATCACACCCTAACAGATTCCATTCACAAACAACCAGAGTCCCGACTGTGAACACAGGAAATCTGGCAAAAATTCTCGTGACCAAACTTGACTTTAGAGGAAGCAAACATGGCAGATGATGGGCAAGAAGAAATGGCGATAATAGTGTCTGGACTGTTTTTTATAGAAAATTTGCGGAAAAAAAGAAAAAGGTTTGGATGAAGTCATGGAGATGGCGTTAACATGGACTTTATATGTTACAGCGCGAGCTGGAGGTGAGATCGCTTTCTGATTGGGTATCGGTTTGTTTCACGTGACAATTCGCCTTATTCACCTGGCGGCCATTTTGAAAACGCGAACGCCGTTGAGGGGTACACAAACCCGGAAGTTTGACTCTGACGCAGCAGCGCCAGCAATGGAAACTCCAGTGTGGACCACCAATCTTTCCTGTCTGCCCAAATTAACGATGCAAAATGTGAAGCAGTGAGCCAGTACTGATTGCAACATCCTGGCTGTGTTAATTAAGGGATACAGTAACTGGATCGAAGGTTTTATCCACGACATTGAAGGTATGAATGGACGCCGATTTACCTCAGTTTCTGCTAGCTTGTAGCAGCTAGGGGTAGTAAGCTGTGATATGGAGTTGTTGACTGTGTACTATGTTAGATTTTATTTAACACTTCACATGTCTTTAATCGACAGTTAATAGGAGCCCATCACACATATTTGTGAGGGCTAGGTCTTGATTGGTGGTCCACACTGGAGTTTTGTTTTCAAAATGGCCGCCAGGTGAATAAGGCGAATCTACCGAGTGCGTGCGCGTTTGTTTGTTTCTGATCGTTAATGTTCAACACGTTTACGATTTGAGATTGGTGTAGCTCCGGCGTTCTTCAGAGGAGATTCAGTCACCCTTAACACATCTCACACCACAGGAAAATCTGATAAGATAATCTGTATCACCGTCAAGATTATCGGGACTTTACCTAGGATTGTCGGAAAGGGAGAATTGGGCCCAAAATCACTCCAAATATCTTGCTGTGTGTAGCCAGCTTTAGTTGACATGTATAGTTGCAAAGTTACTTAAAGTTTGTAGAGTAGACTGCTTTATATCTGCCCCAACAGACATTCAACTTACTATAAGTAACTTTGCAACTACTTATCAACTAAAGCCTGGTTCACACGGGACGATTTTAAAATTGTCGGATGATTTTCCAAACCTGAGAGACCCCACACACGGCGATTAAAAAATCACGGGTCTAACAGTTTTGGTCGTACAGTGTGTGGTGCGCTGCCACACGGCAAAATCAACACATCACACACGAACCGATTTGACTCCTGAGCATTCCCAGGTCAGACTAGCCTGGGAAAACCCAGACAACTTCCGACAAATTTAGATTTGCTCTGAAAGTTAGTCTGGCAAAGACCTCATTCAAGCCCATTTCCAATTGGTCGAAATCGAGGCACCAATTAGAAACGTTGGGGCGGGCTTTACACGATGCCGACAGCGCTGGGATTTTGAAGCTGATTTTGTAGCCTACATTACAAAGATGGATGCCGCCGTCGAACATCACTCGTTCGAATCAGCTATCGCGTCTGTTTTAAGCGATTAGAACGTTTCCTTTTTGTTAAAAACCGAGCAAAGAACAACACTCGGAGATGTTTCTCTGCCGCTCTGCATACGTCATCTCCTTCATCGCTCTGATTGGTTTTAGGTCTATCCGCGACGTCCGTAGGTGACGCCCCTCTGGAAATGAATTGTCTATGATGCTTTGCCAGACCATAACTCAGTTACAACTGAGAATGGTCTGGTTTTAACCAGGCTAAGGTCAGACGGAAAATCTTGCAAAACCCCTCGAGTTAAACAATCATGGCGGACGAAGAGGATGCAGTGGCGATAGTTTGTAGTTTGTTTTTAATCGGAAAAAAAACGTTATCAAAAGAAAAGGCGATGGTCAAAGAATCTCCGACGTCCACCGGACTTTCTGGTGCGCCATGCCGCTTGCTGTTTTGATTTTGTTTCCCGGTGCTTCCTCTGCGCCTCGTCACCTCGCTTTCTGATTGGCTACACGCCACAGTCTGCGTGCTCGTTTGTCCCCGGGGGACACAACACACGAGGAGAAATCGGGCCAAAAAAATCCAACATGTTGGATATCCTTGATTTGAGATCTGAGCGGTCCCGAGCAGACGAGAGCAGTCTTAACACACCACACATGGCAGGAATATCTGATCAGATTATTTTACGATAATCGGAGCATCCTTAAGATTGTCGGAAGGGGTAAATCGGGGCTAAAATCGGCCTAATCATCCTGCCGTGTGAACCAGGCATAACACTCATTAATTTGCAACTACATGTCAACTACCAGTTAATAACGCATTAGTAATATCTGCAAACACTTTATTTTAATTATAACGTTAGACATTCTACTGACTATACGTAACTTTTCAACTACGTGTCAACTTTTTCTACTAACCCGAACCCTCTGTTGACCGTAAACAGTCTATTACGGTCTATTAATACGCTGATGAGGTTAGTTGCAAAGTTAATAGTCAGTAGAATGTCTTAAGTGCACCATCGAAATAGTTTGTTGAAAAATAATGAGGCTGTGAATTAGAACATATTTTTAGAAAATGATACAGAAAAAAAGGGATTCTGCGTTAATTACATTTAAAAAATGTTACATATTAAACTGAAAACAAATTTTACGCCAAGGGTCTAACTTATCATTCATTATTTCAAATAAAAACTGTTTTCACTCATTTTCATACATTTTATCCAATGACAAAAAAATATATATTTTAAACTCAAAACTGCTCAAATGGAATAAATCTCACAAATGCTGATGTTCTAAAGAAAGTTCATCATTAATAAGAGCACAACCACTCAATAAATGTGTTAAGATTCAGTATCTTTGGCCAGGAGAGTAATTATCGGTGAGGGGACCATCTTCAACTACATGCAAAAGGTTTGTTACTCAATCATGTTCCTTTGGTCTGTAGCTCGGGTTTGCCCAGGATTGCCGCTGGTGTGGTTGGAGGTCTGCTGGCGTTTGTAATCCTGGCTCTAGGAGTGGCTGTTCTTTTCCGCAGACGCCACATCAGAAGGAAGAGAACCCTGCGACGACTCCTGCAAGAAAGAGAGGTCAGACCGCAAGACAACCAGGATATAAATATTCTGAATATCTACTGTTGAACATCCAAACACTCACAGAAAGAAGAGAGTTGGCAGAGTTTGATGCTCAAAGCATCAAATTCAAAGCTGTTAGGTCTGCATTCTGGAGATTAATGTTTTAGGTGTTCAGGGTTAAAATATAAACAACACAATCCAGGTAAAGAGAATCACTCTGGTGTGGATCGTGAGCCTGCAACTCAAAGTCTGGTTTCTGAATAACATCTCAGAAAGCAGGATAAGCATGACAGAATGATTTGACGCATTAGGATTGTGTTGCTGGTTGGTTGTGGTTAATGACTCTGATGGTTTGATGTTTTTCTCAGATAACTATGTCGTGACAGATGGGGCATGTGTGAGAACATGCAGCCCTGGCACCTATGAGGTGGATGAGGGTGGAGTTCGGAAATGTAAGAAGTGTGATGGCCTGTGTCCAAAAGGTACGGCTGAGACTGCTGGTCAGGTTCTGTAACAAGATGTTGTCTTTAAGAGGAAAGATCGTTTGTCTGTTTTTTTTCCTCTTTTTTTCTACTTTGACAAACACATTAGTCTGTATTTTAATCTCATTTAAAAATATGTAATTAAAACTAAATAAAAGACATAAAAACGATAAACCATTGCAGTGTCTGTGTGTTTACACTATCGTTCAAAGATTTGGGCTTGATAAAAAATAATTTATAAAAGAAGTCTCTTATGCTCAGCAAGGCTGTATTTATTTGATCAAAAATATTATTACTAGGTAAAACTTATTTAACCTGTAAATTATTTATTGCAATGATGTCAAAG